AAGAAAGCTTACACAATAACTACATAATTTGACGAACTTAAAAAGACCAGAAATCTAATTTCTTTTTTTTTTCACAAATCGTCCAAGAGACAAATCGTTACATTTCCATTAATATTTTGTGGGCGTTTTTTGCAATAATTTCCGAAATATTTCTTTGACAAGAATAACATTTCATTTGTGATTCACATAGAAATAACAACAAATTAAAAACGTAGACACCTTTAGTTATTTGGAACAATAACTTCACTTTGAATATTTCTTCACGAATAACATCCGGCTCTGTTTAAAACACCATGGTGACAATCTTGAGAAAACAACTACCTAAAGTTAACTATTTTATAGGCGAAGGGGCATTTCCGGCCTCGCTGTATTGTTTATATACACCATACCGTATGTTATAATATAGGTAGCGCTGTGGTGCACTCACGTGACATGTACTTTTGTTGTATTACATCGTTTCACCCAACATTATTTTACTTAACCATTAATAAGAAATGCATTAATTCAGAAAGCACGAGTACTGTAGCAGTTCTTAAATACTAAGGGTCAACACATATAGTGTCTTCAAGAAATTCTCTTCCAGTACACGTGTATACCATATACAGTTAGAAGTACATCATCTATATATTGTTACGTCTCCATTTGTTAATTGATTTTTCCGTAAGTTCGTTCCGACGAAATTTTAACGACACAAGTCCTTTACTTAATAAAACTGGTTTATTCTTTCCGAATATAACTTTACCGATACACTCAACTTCAACAATCGCGCTAAACAAACGCTATAACAACGAAAGTCAATAATACTTCTGACTGCAGTTCAATTACTCATTATCTACACACACATTACATTTCCGCGTCACGTTGTCCCCCTCTTATATATACCAGCCTACCCTATCTAGTAAATACTAGAGCATTCGCCAAGGTACAGGATAGTTCTAGAACGTGGCGTCACCGTAGTCATGTGACTCGCTGACGCAACAATATCTTTCGGCCTTAGGTACCCGAGCATTGTTTAACAGGACATTCTGCTTTTATGGAATCTTGAAATGAATAAGTAACACGTTTCCTGTATTCTATTGTACCAAAAATGTGCAATTTTTACAAAATATTCTATGTAATATGAATACTCCATTTATATACACCTGGAAAAAAGTTAAGCACCCCCAAATATTTTTCAGGATTGCTTATTGAAAATAAGGTTTAATTTTCATGATGTTGAGCAATGTTCATAATTTCAAACATAATTAAAAGGATGTGAACGTTCAGGTGTGAAATTTAAATCAGGAGCGTTTTTTCCCACGTGCAACTTGCTCCCTTCTTCACGTCCAATATGCACTATTTTCTCGTTGC